GTCCCCTCTCCTGGGACACAATGTGCAGGCAGCTGAAGCCTAGACACCTCTTGGCTGTTTCTTCAGCAGAAAGCTGGAACTTTTTCAAAATGAAATTTTGCCTACAGTGCATTTCAAACACGCAAATGCTTGTTTTCCCTTAGGAAATTATTGCAGTTGAAATTCCCAGCCCTCCTACTGCACATCTGACTGCATGTTCCTGCATATTCCATTCCCTCTGATTGCACAGAAGCTGGGTTTGGGTTTCTCACTGTCTTTGCCTCTGGCCATTGATGTTCCATGTCCCATCCTCTCACCCAAATATCTCCTTGCCTGCTCAGGAACATCTGGGTATCAAAAGCCAGACTAACACTTTGTATCTTGTTTTAACTCCCCCCAGCCCTGTGCATGTCCAGCTCCTTGGACAAAGACAGAGCTCTGGTGGATGGTGGGAATGCTCCTGTGCACAGTAACCTGCAGTAACCTGACGGTGGAGGGGGAGATACCTCAATTCTCTTTATCTGGTGTAGGATGCTGCTGCAGCTTCTTTCTGTGATAGCAGGGATTCCAAATGTGACACACACTCTGCTCAGGCCTTGGAGGCCTAGAGCTCATTCCTGTAGGGATGACTGGGTAAAGACAACATGGATGTCCATAGCAGGGCAGGTCTGTGCTGCCCCTGTACTGGAGCAGGGAGCTGTGCTGCCTGGTGACTTCATCAGCCACATCTGAATTGCAAAGTAGGCTGGGCCAAGTCCCTCTCAGCTGGTAAAGCATTTAGAGAGAGCACAAGGCCTCTTTAGGGACTGCAGTCCATCCTGAATTTCATCTGGAAAAGAGCCAGGAACAGGGCTAGGATGTACAACTGCAACAGCTCAGGCCAAAGGGCTGCTCAGACACTCTGACCTTGGTCTCCATTCCATTGCTCTCTGCAGCTCCCCTGCCACAGAAATAATGCCTTTGGGCACCTTCCTCTGCAGTCTACGGTCACTGCCTGTCAGTCTGGCTGGCTGATACTGTGACAAGGACGTCCTGCTGCATCCCAGCTCATCCTGCTGCGCCCCAGCTGCTCACACAAATCACATCCCCCAAGGAAACACAGTGGGGGACACACCCTACCAGCCTCCTGGGGGGTGGTGAGGAGCTGTGGGGGTCCCTGCACTCCCTTCCTTGTCCACTGTCCCTGCCCACCTCAACCTCAGACTGGAATTTAGTTCTGTTCTCTATCCCTGTCCCTCCTTGCGTTGTGCACGGCAGGGACCCCCCAGGGGCAGGTTCCCTCTCCCTGCAAGGTTCCAGGGCATGGGACTGCCCTGGGCAGTGTCCGGATACCCGAGCAGTAGGAACAGGAGGTGTGATGCAACTGGGCAGGAGGCAGGAGGCAGGAGGCTTCAGCCAAGGCATAGAGGTGGGGGAGGAGAGGAGGGTTGCCTTCTTCCAAATTCATTGCCCTGCTGACCTCATCTGTGCCGGAGCCAGCTGGAAACAGCCTCTGCAGTGCTCAGAGGCCCTGGGGAAAGCATCTGTGCAGTCTTGTCTCTGCTCCTGGAAGGCAGCACACTCTGACTGCATCCACTCTCACCTCTGCTGTGCCAGCTCATGAGGAGTTTTTCTCCAAATATTCTCAAGGATCTTTTCTCCATCTTTTCAGCTTCTTTCTTTATAAAAATGTGACTCCCAGACGTGGACAACTTTCCTGCGCAGGGTTCCCCAGTGCTTCCTGTAGAAGAGCTGCTGCCAGCTGCTGCTCTGACTCCTCAGGGTGAATCCAAGGACAACACTGCCACATTTTGTTTGGAAATTCATGATCTCTGACCCGCGGGTGAAAATTAGAGACCACCTTTACAGTCAATGTCTCCGCTGCATCTGCAGTCCTGTCCAAAGGGCAGGACCAACAATACTTGCTTCTATTTTCATGGCTCTACACTGACTGTCCTAAAATACTACTTATTAAACGATCCAAGTGATTTCGCACCGTTATTTGCTGTCTCACAGATTTTGTCATCAGTCATTGTTTCCAGAGCAATGACAGGAATGCTGAAGTATCAACCACATTGCAAATCTTTTTATCCCTGTAGGAATACCCACATCCCACAGCAGTTCTTCACTACCAGGTCTGGAGACCAGCAATGGCCACTGAGCATGTGCTTTACTCATTTTTATACCTCAGATTAACTTGCAGCTGTACACAGCAAGCATTTCCCCAGCCCGTGTTATAGCTGTGCAGTTACTGCTATCAAATCAATATCAGCTTTCTCAAAGGAAGAATTTAGTTTGTTTGGCAGCTCTGTGATCAGTGGCACAAATTGCATATTCCTAATACCCAATTTCCTCCTTTATGAAATTCCCTATTATCTTTCCCACCACCGAGACTGACGCCTCACCTCGAGGCAGATGAAATTTCCAGCCGGTTCAATGCTGCTCCCCTGAAGTCTCCAGGTTTTACACTGACTTACTCTGGCCGTAGGAGGAATTACAGCATTGACCGGCACGGGGGCACCGCACCAACACCCGCCCCGTGCGGTGCCAGACGTGAAGAGCAGGATCACATTTTACACGTACTAATTGCAAACAGGCAACAGTGGTCAGTTCCTGAGCCAAACCGTGGCTGAGAATGTTGCCATGATAAGCCAGGAGGCAGTGAAAGGCAAAGCAGAGACTATTCCTCACTGCAGAGTCTTCTCAAGGATCAGCTGGTGGATGTGGTTGTACTCACCATGTACACGGCTCCCACCCTGGGAAAGCCCTGCATGCACCCATTGCCTTCAGAGGATCAAAGAGCCCGAGGACACAGCGAGAGGGGGATCCATGCGGTGACAACATCTGTGCTGGCTGAGCCTGGCTGCTGGGAATTGTGATCCGGGCTGTTCCTGGTGCCAGGACAACAAGGATGGTGGGAGGCATGACCTGAAAGGGAAGCAGGCATTTTTCAGATCTCTGCAACAGTGCCAGGAACAAGAGCCTCTGGAGACAAAAAATGAGTGGAGGCACAGAGGGAAGAGGCTGCCTCCTGAGCATGGTCATCCCAGACTCCTGGGCAACACAGGAGGAGCTCAATTGCTGCACTCCTTCTTCTCGCTGCAGGGAACTCCAGGTTTCCAGGAGGAAAGAGCTTCTGTACTCCAAATAACATTTCAAAGTCTGCCTTTTTCCTTTGTTTCTCTGCTAGGTGCCCTGCTGTGGCCAGGTCTTGGCTTTATTATTCCATTGCCATCACACCCACCAGGATCCAGGTCTGTATAGCCCACTCCAGAACAGTTTCTTACCAGACAACCTACTGCAGATGCACCTGGCAGGCAACATGGAATGAAGTCAAACCTGTGCAGACTAAAGGTACAGATGCAACTCTGACTTGCACCCTTTGTCCCTTCAAGACAGCATTTGAGCACCTTGGGGTGGACAAACCCACACCACGTGAGTCCAGCAAGGCCCTCAGCTCCGTGTGTGGAGGAGTGGGAATGCCACAGTGACACTGAAAAGGATTAAGCATGCCTGGAAGTTTGTGCCAGCAGCACAGCAGGGTCGATGTGGAACTCCATGCCAAGCACTGCAAGAGTTAAGGCGAGATGGGGCCATTTTCCTTCTCTCGTGGAGCACATCATAACCTCCCTGGGTTTCACTGCTTTCTCAAGCAATGGGCCACAGCTTCCTGAGAGGGTCTTACGGCTGTAAAGGGGCTGTGCAGCCCACAAGCCCCTCGTCTGCTGAGCCCCTGTGGTGTTACACAACAGCCATTTTGCTTCTGCAGTTTCTTCTGAGTGCATGTGGGCAACGTGGGACACAGGCAAAATGGTTTCCATGACAACTCACACTTCAGAGATGCCAGTGAGAAAATTTGCGTTGGGGGAAAAATATTCTGCTTCAACTCACGTTGTGAGTGAGCACAGAGGTGGGCTGCAGCAGTATCCCAGAACTGGTGGGGTAAAAATATCCCTGGTGGCTTTGGTTCTGCAGCGCTCAGCTTGTTCCCTGCCTGGGCTGCCTGTGGCGTTTGTCCCATGCAATGACAAAACAACACTCTGTCACCCCCTGCAACCTCTTTGCTGTTTTCCAAAAAGGCCAAAGCAGCAGCTCTGGGGAGCAATGTGCTGCTCTGACCACCTCACCCCTCTGGTCCTGGAACAGGACAGATGTGTCCCAGGAGTGAAACTCCAACCCCTTCAGCCATGGAGCTGGACTGTCCTCCAGATGTTGGCCCCTGGCTGCTGTGCCTCCATTTCCTTAAGGGAGGCTAATGGTAGCCCAACAGCAGGTAGATGATGAGAACCCCAAGAAATCTCCTCAGCAGAGAAATCTTAAGGTCATATCCCAGAGTAATATGGAATTTAATGGAGGGAAATGGCTGGTTGCCCTGTGAGCTAATGTCTGGAAGAGTGGTGGCTCTGTCTGGAGCGACAGAGTGAAGCCAAGGAACCAAGCTGAGCATCTGCTGAACATCTCTGCCCTGGAGTTGTGTTGGTCAAGGGAGGGTTGTCCAGCACTAGAGTAAACACAGACCGTGATGGTGTCCTCGTCACACACAACTGTCCCCAGTCAGCGCTGGGGGATTGTGTTGTTCAGAGGTGCTGCATAACTGGTAATACTGGTATGGAGAACAAAACTGCAGACCCTCTTTCACACCCAGTCTTGTGTGGTTATGCCTGGAGAAGCCCCTGGTTTGCTCAATGGCCAGTGCGTCCACACCTCCGATGTCTCCCACGGCACTCTCCGACCCCAAATGGGCATTGTGGTGAAAAGGAGAGAGCGGGACCCCCAGAGCTGCCCCCACCGCAGCCGCAGGGTCAGCCTCGGACGAGCTCTGCACCCCCCGCACCAGCGACACCCGCGGAGGTGCCGGACCCACCCGACCCCGCAGCCGCCCTCCGGGCACCGGGGGCAGCGAGACCCCGTTCTCTGCGAGGGGGTGCCCACAGACCCCGCACCAGCCCCGCTGCGGTGGGGGGGCTCTGCCGCAGCGCCCGGGGCGGGCGGGGGTCCCGGGGGCGGGCGAGGGGCGGGCGCTGCGGCAGCGCGGGGCGGAGCGGGGCGGCGCGGGCGGTTCAGCACCAGGGAGAGCGCCCGCACCGCTCCGCACCCCCCGCGCCGCGCCGAGCCGGGCCGGGCCGCGCCGGGGCCGCGGATGGGGCCGCGCTGAGCCGGGCGGGCGGCCCGCGGGCCGGGCGGGCGGGCGGGCGCGGGGGGCCCGGCGGGCTCCGGGCCGCCCGTGGATGAGCACCATGCGGCTGCTGCTGCTCGCCCTCCTCTTCTCCTCCTCCTTCGCCCGCGCCGGCTGCGACCCCAAGATCGTCAACATCGGCGCGGTGCTGAGCACCAAGAAGCACGAGCAGATCTTCCGCGAGGCGGTGAACCAGGCCAACAAGCGGCACGGCACCTGGAAGCTCCAGCTCAACGCCACCTCTGTCACCCACAAGCCCAACGCCATCCAGATGGCCCTGTCCGTCTGCGAGGACCTCATCTCCAGCCAGGTACCCCGGGACGGCGACCCTCCCCCGCCGCCCCGCCGCCCCGCCCCGGCCCCCCGGAGCCCCCCGGAGCCCCCCGGAGCCCCCCAGCCGAGCCGCGCCGTGCGGGTCCTGCCCCGGGGCCCGGGTCGCGCTGCCCGCATTGCAGCCTTTATGTAAGAGCGGCCGACTGCGCGCTCCGAGCACCCCCGGGACACTCACGGGCACCCGCACACACCCCGGGGCACACACGGGCACCCGCACACACCCCGGGTACGCACGGGCACCCGCACACACCCCGGGTACGCACGGGCACCCGCACACCCGACGGGGTGCACACGGCTACCCACATACACCTCTGGGCACGCACAGGCACCCACATACACCCTGGGGCACACACAGGCATCCACATGTTCCCCAGGGCACACATGGGCACCCAGGTACACTCTGGGGCACACACAGTCACCTGCACCCCCGATGGGGTGTACACAGACACCCACATACATCCCGGAGCACACACAGGCACCCACACCCCCTCCAGGTACAGATGGCCACGCGCACACCCCCCAGGGCTCACATGGGCTCCCATACAACACCTCAGAGCATACATGGGCTCACACACGCACCCCAGGGTGCACATGGGCATCCACACACCCCTGGGGCACACACAGTCTTTCTCTCTCTCTCTCTCT